GTAAGGCAAGGGAAGGCAATAGGGAGCAGTGGGGACTGGGGTAAAGTAGAGAGCAGGTGCCTCATCTAAAGGGGGCAGCCTCTACTCAGCTGAAGCTGCCTGCTGCCATGTGGCAATGCAGGCTAGATACAGACATATCTTCCAATAGTCAAGAGAAGCCAGAAACCTGGATTTTTATGTAAAGTTTTTACGAATTTGAATGATAGAAATAAATGCAAATTAAGAAAAAAACAAAACCACTGTGGCAGGTCAAACAAAATATCTACAGGCTGGGTTCAGCCCTGGGCTTCACGCAATTTGGAGCCTCTGAAGCTAATTGTGTGACTTGGGCCTTTGCCCTTTCTGAGCCTGTGTCCTCATCCCTCAAGTAGACATGGCAACCCCTCCAAGTGGGAGTCAATGGCAGGACCGGAGAGCTCAGGGCTTGTAAAGTGCCTCCTGCTGTGCCTGGTACAAAGTTAGGCGCTGACCAACCTTGGTCTCATCCACCCCTTCCCCACACCAAGCATCTGCTGTGTCTCCGTGCCCCCCACCCCCCAGGGTCTTGCCTTGGCACTGTCATAGGAGGACCTGGAGAGAGTTAAGACAAAGAGCTGAAAAAAAAGGAGCAGGCAGGAGAGCTGGAGGGACCGGGGTGCAGGGCAGGGATGGGGTTCCGCAGCTTAGTGGGGGCCCACGGAGGGGAGTCTGGGCGTGAGGGGAGGGTGCGGCCAGGGCTGGATCTCAAGGAAACACTAAAGTCCTGAAAACAAGCGTGAGCAGCAAGTCGGGGCAGACTGGGGAGAACGGAGTGCAAGGGGCTGCCTGCAAGCTCACCGATGTCATCCTCTTGGACATTTGGGTCACATGTCTCTCAGAAAGTGACAATGGCATTACCAAAGGCCCAATGTCATTATCACCATTTATAATCACTGACACTTACACTTACTGTGTATAAACACTTTAAGAGCTGGGTGTCACATGGCCCTCACAATAATAACCCCATTAGACCTGCATTACTGTGATCCCTACTCTAGAGATGAACAAGCTGAGACTCGGAGAGGATGGGTCGCTTGCCTTTAATAGCAAAACGCATCGAGCACGTTCTCTGTGCTAAGCGCCTCACGTGCGTTACTTCACACAGTCTCCAAAGATGCCCCCCACCCCTGAGACACACCTCCTGGGGTTCATGCTTTGTGCAGCACTTTCTCCTCGACCCTGGCCCCATTACTTGCTCTTGACCATCAGAATGCAACAGACGTGACACTGCGTGGCTTCTGAGGCAGGGTCATAAAATAAACTTGCAGCTTCCACTGGGATCTCTTGGGACACTCTCCAGGGACCCAACCACCGTGCCTGAGAAGCCAGTCTCGCTGACAGCCGAGCTTCCAGTGCCAGCCAGCACCGACTGCCAGCATTGTGAGGGGCCACCCTGGATGCCTAGCCCAGCGGGGCCCCAGAGGACTGGCCCCAGACAGCACCTGACTGAAACATCGTGGAACAGCCCGAAGCAGGACACTCAGCTGAGTTGGGCCAACCCACTGAACCATAAGAGATAATCACACATTTTTTATTTTAAGCCACTAAGTTTTCTGATGACGTTTGATAAATCAACAGAGAACTAGAGCACCACTCACAAGAGCCCCATGACGTGGAAACTCACGCTGTCCCATTTTACAGCTGAGGATACTGAGGCGCAGGGAGGGTGAGTGACTTGGCCAGGCCCACCGCTGGTGAAGGTCAGGGTCAGGATCTGCTCCCAAGCCGCCTGATTCCCGAGGCCGCCCCTCAACCACGCCTTTATGCTGCTCACGGTGGCAGGCAGTGCCCGTCAGGGCGAGGTGTGAACCCAGGCTGGTGGACCACTAACCATGGAACCTTCGCCTTCCCGCGCACGTGTGGCTCTCGAAAGCTGGTCCCCAACATCCGTTGAGCTCCTCAGAAGCCCCAACCGACAAGCCCCTGCAGCCCGTTCTTCCTCTCCTGCTGGGCCAGGAGACAGAGGCTGGTGCTGTCTTGCCGTGGAGCTGGCCTCCTCCCTGGTGGGGGGCTGGGGGCAGAATTTTGACAAATGGCCGCACACATATTAAACAAGAGAGATGACACTGCACAGCCCTGGCAAGGCCCCCAGATGTGAGGGATGAAAAATGGGGCTGATCCATCTTGCGGGCCTCAGTGACAAGGAGAAATGGATCAGACCTAATAGGGGCTGTGCACTGGGCACCGGCCTTAAATAAGTCAAATGGGAATTGGGTGCCCCGTGAGAGGCTGGCCCGGCGGGGAGCTGAGGAGCAGGGCAGGAGGCCTGGCTTTCAGGGGAAGAAAGGTTCCCGTGGGAGACCAGCAGCCTGGGCTCCAGGCCAGGTGGAGAGCCAGGGGCTGCTGGAAAGAGAGGCACGTCGGGGGAGGGGGTTCGGAATCCTGGGCAAGTGACCCAACCTTTCTGAGCCTCAGTGTCTACATATGCAACAGGGGGTTATTGTGCGGGTTAAATTTCATGTCAATAACGATAATATTAGAAGAACTAGTGTTCCCTGAGCATTTACATGTGCCACATGCTAAACACACACGAGCTGTCTTACTATTAGCCCATCCCCTCTGAGAGGTGGAATATAGAGGTTGAGAGCGTGGGCTCCAGAGCCAGCCTGCCTGGGTTCAAATCCCAGCTCCGCGGCTCACAAGCTGGATGACCCTGGACAGGTTACTTAAGTTCTCTGTGCCTCAGTTTCCCCTCCATGAACCACCTACCTCATAGCGCTGTTGTGCGGTTTCCCCACGACTGTTCTACTTAAAGGGATCAGGGTCTGTGTTGATGGGTCAAGGTCCCTTTAGGGCACATGCCTTTAGCTTTAAGGGGGCGGAGCCAAGCAGCGAGTGGGAAGGGGCAGAAAAACAGCAGGAGTCCCCACTGGTCACAATCAAAGCCTTTCTGGCTCCATTCTGACCACCTTCCCCCCAAGACGCCCTCTCACTGGCAAGTCTTTGCACCTGCCATTCCCCTGTCCAACACGCAATCTTATTCCCTCCTCCACCAGCTTGCCTGACCAAATTCTCCGCAGAGGACCCTCCCCAGGGGAAGCTGGGTCGGTGACCCTTTCTCTGTGCTTCCGTGGCTGTGTGTGACTCCCCCCCACCCGGAGCCAACCACCCACATCATAGCATGGGTTCAGGGTACTGCTTGTCCATTGTCTTAATCCCCTGTTACCACACCGTCTCAGCCACTGCTGTACCCCCAGCACCAGCTGCCCCCAAATAAGTGCTCACTCGGTTAATATGTGTTAAATGACTGAGTGGATAAATGCCCCTAGGCACCAGAAGCGGACCTGGATGCCCTGCGTAACAGACAACTGTGGTCACTGTCTCTGCCAGTGCACGTTCCTCCTTTGGAGAACACCTCGCTCCGCCCTGGCCCCACCCCCAGTTTTCCATTAGAGGATCTCTCCTCCATCTCCCTGCCCAAGAGTTTGCATGGGGCAACCCCACCCTCTGCACCACATGACTTAGGCCAGACAACTGGAGCAGCTGAGTCTCCTCAGGGTCTAAATCATTGGTTGCAGTACGGTCACATGACTTAAGCTAACTCAGTGAAAGTCATAACCAAGATTTTGTCTGGCGATATTGGAAAGAGGCCCCATCTCTCTGCTGATATTGCTACATTTGTAACATGTAAGCCTAGACCTGGGCTTGGTGACCAAATTTGCTACCACCTGGGGAAAAGCTGCTTATGAATAAAGCCGCCACAAAGAGAAAGGAGTCAGGAGTGGGGAGAGAATGACTGAGTTCCTGATCAATCACCTGACCACCTGGATCCAGCTGTGCCTGAAGCAGACACTGTGGTAGCTCACCCAGCATCCATTCCACCCACTTACCATGTGAGAGTTTTGGACTCATTCCTCGTTCCAGAGGAATGGTCCAGCTGAGCCAGTGTGCTCATGACACTCCCCCAGCCATGGTGACAATTCAGAAGAGAGAAAATGACTTAAGTTGGGCTTATCAGAGGGAGGCTTTGCGACTTTAGTGAATGTTAGAGAAAGAGCTCTTTCGCCCCCTGTATGTGAAGGAAGAAGCACCAGCTTCAGAGAAGCTTTCTCGCCACTAGGAGGGAAGCCCACCCAGGGACAGAGGTAACACTCAGGTAACACTCATGGGGAGCGGGCAACACTCAGGTGACCACAGAGGAAGAAAACTCAGCCCTGATGGCATCAGAAACTCTGGATCAAACGTTCCCTGAAGTCCATGCCAAGCTGCACTTTCCATTTACAGGAACCAAGGTATCTCCTTATTGATTGGACTGAGGTGGGTGGGTTTTTCTGTTACAATCCATGCCCCCGCCCCCAGCTGAGCCAACTGGGTTTTTCAGTTCCATGAACTAATACACACCTCCTGTTTACTTAAGCTTGGGACTCTATCACTCACAAGCCAAAGAATCTTGACGGATTCTGCCTTTCTCCTGCACACCGTGCTCTGAGGTGCTGGCCCCTGCAGTCAGAACCCTTCACCAGGCTCTCGACAGCTTCCATCCCACCTTGCAGAGCAGCCTCTAAGGCAGAGGCTGGCCAACTTTATCTGTAAAGGGCCAGATGGTAAATATTTTAGGCTTAGTGGGCCATTCAGTCTCTGTCACAACCACTCAGCTCTGCCACTGTAGCGTGAAAGCAGCTGTAGACAACATGTAAACAATAAGCCTGGCTGTATCCTGAGAAAACTTTATGGACACTGAAATCTGAATTTCCCATAATTTTCGCATGTCCCCAAATATTTTTCTTCTTTTGATTTATCTGTTCAAGCCTTTAAAAATGTAAAAACCATCCTTAGGCTGAGGGCTACATAAAAACAGGTGATGGGCTGGATTTGGCCCAGAGGCTATAGTTTGTCAACCTCAGCTCTAGGATCTCAAAGCACCTTTGGACTCTGGGCTTCCCCCCCGATGCCCCACCTTCCTCTGTTTCCCAATTGGGTTGAGCTACTGAAGTTCCAGCATGCCTCGGGGCTCTGGTGTCTGAAAGTCAAAAGCCACTTACCAGAAGGACCACCCGTAGTCCCAGGAATGGGGCCTCCAGTCTTCAGGGCCGAGGCTCACGGTGACCTGGAACACCTGCGTGTACATCATGTGGGCTACCATTCCCAGGAGGCCTGTGAGGGGGGAGCAGGACAAGGTGTCAGGAAGCAAGGTGGGGCTTTGTCTACCCACCAGGGGCCTGTTAGTGCTGGGGAGAGCATGGACCCCCAGGGAAGGACAGGCAGCAGGACTGGAACACGGAAGACCAGAGGGCAGTGGTTTTCTAAGCCTGCCAAGGAGTTTGAGTTGAGCCCGAGGGCAAAGGGAGACCCTGGAGAAATGTAAACAAGGGAGACACAGAGTCAGATCTGCTTCTGGATGGGCAAAGTTTTTCTGTTAGGGACCAGATAAGTAAATATTTTAGGCTTTCTGGGTTTCAACTCTACTGTGGCAGCACAAAGGAGCCACAGACGGTACATAAAGGGATGAGCATGGCCCTGTAGCAATCAAACTTTATTTACAAAAGCAAGTGTTGGGCTGGATTTAGCCTGTGGGCCAGAGTTTGCTGATACCTGTGTTAGAAGGTCATTTGGGAGAAGTTGCTTAGAGAATGTTTATCAAACTGCAGGTCTTGACTCACTGGACTAGTGGATTGTGAAGTCAACTTCTTGGGTTGCATGGATTGCAACCAGCATTTAAAACAAACAAATACGGACTTCCCTGGTGGCGCAGTGGTTAAGAATCTGCCTGCCAATGCAGGGGACACTGGTTTGAGCCCTGGTCCAGGAAGATCCCACATGCCGTGCTCCACGTGCCTAGAGCCTGTGCTCTGCAACAAGAGAAGCCATGGCAATGAGAAGCCTGCAACTAGAAAAACCTGCACGCAGCAGCGAAGACCCAACACAGCCAAAAATAAATTAGTTAATTTTTAAAAAATTTTAAAAATAAACAAACAAGAGTGGAATGGAACAGAAATCTGATACCATCAAATGTAGCAGAAGTAAATATTGTTTTGTGAAACTTTTCAGTTCTATACATGTGCGTGTCCACGCGCGCACGCACGTGCGTGTGTATAGTGATTGTAATATGAAATGCTCATGTCAAAAATCTTGAAACCCACTGGCTGGGAGAACTATGATTCCAAGGGATCTGAGTGGGAATCCTTTTCCACCACGTTTCCACTGTGTGGCCCTGGGCGAGGCACCTCACTCTTCTGAGCTTCAGGCCTTTCAGTCCTAAGATGAGGATTATGACAAGGTGAAAAGTGGCTGAAATGAAGCAAGGCAGCCTCCATGTCTGCAGCCTAGCGGGCATGCAATCGTTATAGTTACCAGGATTATTATGAACCTGGGGACATTGCTCGTGTGGACTATGGCATCTGGAGCCTTTGTGGGCTAACTGGCGTGGACCTAATTTTCAGATGGAGTGATACGGTATTGATGAGGAGGGAAGAGATAGACGACAAGAGGAAGGAAGGAAACCAACAATGCATGTGCACCTACTGTGTGCCAGGCACTCTGTCAGACTCGTTCACCTCCATTACAGTATTATCTTTTAATCTTCATGACAACCCTCTGAAGTAAGTATGATGATGTGGGCCATGTACCGCTGTTCAGGCTGCCCACTGCACATCTCCATACGGCTCCATTCACATCACAGTCTATGTGCACATCACTCCCTGGGGTTGAAGCAGAACCCATCTCCAAGGCTGTATGTAGTAGTCCTGAATATGACTATTCCCATTTTACAGGTGAGAAAACAAGTTCAGAGTGGTCAAGTCTGTCCCAGGTCACAAAGGGAGTAGATGGCTTAGCTGTGACGGGGGCCCAGATCCAAATGCCCTTAAAGCCAGGGCTCTTCCCATGCTGCCTAGAATGCGTCTGTCCTCCCCTTGTTGCCCCAGTCACCCTTTCCCCTGTGGAGACGAGAGAAGAGATGGAGATAAGGAGAGAAGGGGTAGAGATAAGAAAAGACAGAAGTAAAGACGCAGTGAGGTACCGAGTCCTGAAACCCAGCCTTGCGGGCAGGTGTGAGGGCAAAGGGGGACATCCTGTGTTGTCATGGTGTGAAGGTAAATGTTTAACACCAGGTTCCCCAAAGAGGGAGAGAGAGAGAGAGAGAGAGAGAGAGAGAGAGAGAGAGAAAGCTATGATTTGTAGCGTTTGCCAATTTCCATGGTGTGAATAATCCCACCATGGCCAATTTCAAGCTACCCGTGTAATGTCACTGAAAGCGGAGTAGACAAGAGGTGTGCACAGTTGGTTCTCGGGAGCTGAGCCAGCAGGATCTAGCACACCTGTCTCCTTGCAGCCACCTGACCTCAGGCCCCACGGGGACAGAGGACTCAGAGCTGCTTGCCTGTATCTCTGGGCCAGGGCCAGCCCCTCATGGACCTCTGGCCTCAGATGAGAGCTGCTCTCCAGGGCTGGCAGGGAGCAGCTGAGTCAGGAAATCCAGGGAGAGGGTGACTGTGACAGGTGCTGAGGCCCCCAGAGATCCCCTAAAGGCTCAGCCTTCCCCAGCTGTTTCTGCCAGGCTTAGACCCCATCCTCAGTCATACCCCGGCAGGTATGCTAGAAGCCTCTCGGGTCCCCTCTGCCTTGGCTCAGTTTGTTAGAAGGAGACAAGGGCTGAGCCACGTGGGCATCTTATTTATCTTTACTTGACACAATTCCTGGTCAACTTCCAAGAGGTACATAACAGACGTACCTTATTCTTTGGAACTGATGCATAAGATTCCCTGATAATGACACACCATGTTTTATTTATCCAATCAGTTGATGGTATTTAAGTCATTTCCAGCTTTTTGCTCTCTAAGCAATGCTGCAATGAACACGTTTCCACAAGTCTCTCTGTGCGGACAAGCAAGTATGTCTCCAGCGTGAACAAGAGGAATTGCCAGGTCGTAAAGCGTGTGCATTTTAAATTTTAATCAGCGTCAGTGAACTGCTCCCCTGAGCAGAGGTACCGTGTCATACTGCCACCAGCTTCGTGAGAGTCCTCACCCAAATCCTCACCGATACTTGATGTTATAAAACATGAACAATTTTGCCCATTGCATGGTGAAAAATGACACCTCCACATTGTTTTAAGTTTTATAATTTCCCTCATTACTAGTGAGCTTGGGCATTTTTCATGTTATTTATTAACCATTTTTATTTCTTCTTCTATGACTGTGCTTGTCTGTATCCTTCGTCAATTTCCTTTTATTAAAAACCCTTCTCCTTATCAACTGATAGAAATGCTTTACGTATTCTGGATACTAAACCTGTCTATTGTATAGACTCCAAATAGCTTACTGCTTGTCTTTCCCCCTGTACAGCACAGGGGAAAAAGCACTTTTTTTTTCACTAATAGATTTTATTTTTTAGAGCAGTTTTAGGTTTACAGAAAATTAAGCGGAAAATACAGAGAGTTCCAGAGTTCCTAAATGCCCCCTCTCTCTGCCTTCACAGTTTCTCCCATGATTAACATCTTTCAACAGAGTGTATATTTGTTACAGTTGATGAGCCAATAGTGATATATTATTATTAATGAAATCCATAGTTTACATCAGGGTTCACTCTCTGTGTTGTACAGTCTGTGGATTTTGACAAATGCATAGTGACATGTATCCATCATTACTGTGCCCAGTAGTTACGGCCCTAAAAACCCCTGTGCTCCACTCGTTCATCCCTCCCTCCCCACTCCTTCTGAACCCCTGGTAACCACTGATTTTTTACTGTCTCCATAGCTGGGGTGCTTTCAGAATGTCATGTAGTTGGAATCACACAGTATGTAGCCTTTTCAGATTGGCTTCTCCCACTTAGCAATATGGATTTAAGGGTTCTCCCCTATCTTTTCATGGCTTGTTTGTTCTTTGCCTTTTTTTTTTTTTTTTTTTTT